AGCCAGCTCAAATTCATTTAGTACTTGATACGAAATGGAGTCAAGTGAGCTCTTGAACCAATCATACCCGAGCATGCAAATTGTCAGACACAATCCAACATCTGAGCTGAGTTGTGCTAATTACTGCGCGCATCACATAACTGCAGGATACGTCAAGAGGCTTCATTGTGGAAAGATTGTTGTTATATGATGTTCCGTCTGATCAAATATACAAGATAAGATGTTTCTTCGAAAAGTGTGTGTATCTCAATCGTCCAGGACATTTGAAATCATTTCCTTAATTGAAATTGGTGCCGTGTCTGTGCATCATTGTCGAGTAGATAGAATTTCTGCGTAAATTAAAAAGAGAAGTCTATCCATGCATTATCGGTGTCTTCTACTGAGGTGAGATCTTGCTCAGGGCTTCCATCAGAAAGAACATAACCGCTAATCCTACTATTATGAGATACTGAACCAGTTTAGTTTTACAACGTTGTGAGGTGACTTTCAGGTGTTGCTCGTATATATATATATATATATATATATACTTGGAGATGGAACCCATGCATCATTCATTCTTTAACGCCTAGCCTGTCCTCTCTTTACTTGACAAGTACTGCAACTTAAACCCATCCTTTCAATCCACACCCCTACATACATATACATATACATATGTTCATAAGTTGCCTGATCAACTCATAATGCACCTCTCAAGTCAACGAGAACGTGTCCTAGCTTTCTCACTTGAATTTGCGTCTGTTGTTTATGCCAATGTGCTTTTCTGAAATACTCCTCCAGTTAATTGAATTTGGAGATGGCAAATCACCGAAGTTGGTAAGAAATGGCACCCTCTTTGGAAATGGAAGTTAATAATTGGACAAAACCTCAATTGATAATCACTCACAGTCGCAGCGAGAGTGTTTGGTCCGTTGAATTACAAAAGCATCATGCATGATAGAGAGGTGTTGGAGGTCATGCATTAATATCCGTGATATATTTGGGCAATAATGGTGACCGAAAGTGGAGTTTTTTCCGAAGGCGATTGAGAAAGACTTGAAACCAAAAAACAAGAGATGGAAAAACTTTAAAAGAGTGATAGTGAAACTGAGTTCTGCTTTTGGAGACAGTCCACCCAACCATGAAGGTGACTTAATTAGAAGGCGACGCTGGTGAATAGTAACAACAGCAATAATAACTAATAAGAAGCTCCGATCCCTCTCATTTCTGTATCCTACCTCCTCGACTAAAGCTGACCCTGCTTTCATGGTTGGTCAGGCGGACAACGATTTCTACGTCAAAAAATAGTTAAAAGTTTATGTGCTGAGACAGAGTCTTTCTTCGGAAAATTAATAAATAAATTGTCAAACAGTTAGGGATATATGAACATGTAATGGGATGACCCTAATTTAAGACTAAAGAAAATAATACTAGCTAGTATTCTACTCACAATTTTTTTTAAAAAAATAATAATAATAATCAAAAGAATGGGTATCGATGGTCCAAAAAGGGCCATCTGCCAAGGATAATTAATCGATTCATAATCTTAATTAATTGGCCATGAATAACAGCAGCATGCGCGGTAAGGCGAGATATGAGTCAAAATTAGCCTAACTTGATTTGGATATATCTAATTAATTACTCAAGCGTGGACTCGTAGTTTTGCTCTGCGTGGACCGGACTATGATTGCAATTATCCACTGAACATATATATATATATATATTTGCATACAGCTGAAATTAGAACAACCAAACATATTTGTGATGATTGAACTGAAAATCTATCTATCACTCTTGTTTTATCCCATCTCATTATTGTTTTATTATTAGTATATGAGATTATAAATAATTTCTTCAGCTCTCATGTGTGTGTGTTGTGCGAGTATATATATATATATATATATATAGAAGGGAAGACGGTGAACATATATGACTGACTGACTAACTAACTAACTGACTAATAAGTCGGGGAGTTGATTCCTCGAGAAAGAGTAAAATTACAGAGAGTTGCTGATTGGGAAGCAGCAATTGATTTTCCGATTTCACCAATTTGGAAGGTATAATAAGCAATCGGCATGTGCACTGCACGAAGTGACTTGAGGCTCCAATTACGGGGCGCTGGCTGAGACAAAAAGGGGTATTCATGATTTGACTTGGATCCAAAACCAAACAATTCTTGAATTGGAGATTTTGGACACTGACAGATTCGACGAATCCGCGTGGAGGATTAGGATTTCTGATTACAACGATCCTCCAGCATGAATTCCAAATCAACGTGCAGCTGCGAAAATTTTGTCACTACTCTCACTCCCAATAATTGTCAAACTAATTGTCAAAATGAACTTATAAGCGCTCTGCCGGTGCCGCTTAATTAAAAAAGGTTCATAGGAATAAATACATATGTATATCAAAAAGCCAGTCTTCACTTCGGTCACCCTCCTCCATGCCTCCTCTTAGTATTATTCTCTGATTCTGTGCTTTGAGGAGGAAGAAAAAAAAAAAAAAAAAAAAGGTAGGTCTTTTGAAGTACATGATCAAATTACATATGTGACTGTAGAAACGATGACGTATTTAATTGTCAATTGATTAAATCAAATCAATTTGTAGGACCTAAATCTTTTGAAACATTCGGACCCCCGAAGAATAGACAATGCATGGAACGATAAACACAGAAATTTATTACTAGCTCATAAATTAGTGACGGATTAGTTAAGAACCACTCAACCAAAAGCCCGGATTTTAGCTAAAAATATGATAAAATCACGTGAAATGTCCACATTTGTGGGTGAAGTTGTGTGACCGTGAAGTATCAAGGCAGCCCCCTCCGGGTCACTTCACACGTGTTGTACCCGAAAAAGACACTGGATTTCGGCAACTTGGACCTACCCTAAAGAGAATGTTGACTTTGCCTGGACCTTAAAAAGCCCCACCCACACGTGAGGGCTTTCTGTTTTATGCTTGCTTGTCGGGCCCTGTGCGAGAGGCCCAGTTGGCCCATCCGAAAGCGCTGTCTCCAGCAGTCGTCCGCAACGCTTGCATCACAGGCAATTCCGGCTTCAAAAGCACGTATAATCCAGAAGAAAAATGTCATTACGATTACTGCTAGTAGTTGTTGTTATGTGCATGAACCTGTTTAGGTGACATAGCGTCGTCATATGTGACACAATAATGCTATGCTGCCTTCTGTATTATTAGACAAACTTTCTTAACTTAATAATAAATATTAATTAACTTCCTTTCTTTCTTCTTGTTTTTTTTTTTTTTTTTTTTCCCATTTCCAGAACATGTTAAAGATTAACTTGTTTGACTACAAATGCCACAACAAGCTTTTCTGGGGGTTAGGTCAAATCCCAGAACATGAACTTTATTTTAAGAATGAATCTTGTAGACCCTAACTAATAAATAGTGCATATACTGTTTCAAATAAAGAAGAAAGTGAACAATGGTATAAATACGTGCCCATGAATTGTTTTTGAGGTGATGTGTAGAATATTCAGACGCGTAGAAGATGGCACTTGATGCTGCAAAAGATTCCAAAGCGCACGACTAAGACAACGTCGGTCCTTAGTTGTAGTTTGTTAATGTTATCCCGATAAGTGACGAGAAGCTATTGGGAAGTATTAATTTTGTACTCCTAACATCTAGCAGCGGACAAGCGGTTTTTGTATTCGTGTCAGAGATGATCTAAAGGCTTGAAAGAAGAATTAAAGCAGTAATATATGATGAAAGGTCTTCACAATGATGATGCATGATAATGACATGATCAAATCGAATTAAATTTGTTATCAAATCGAAGTGGATAAGAAATGTAGGGAAGGAATGCTGCAATTGAGACAATAATAATGTTTGACAGAGAGAAGGCATTAAAATAAAGCTTTTGTTGTCTTGTTAAGTAGTAGCTGTTTGTACAAGTGTGTGGTATTGGTAGGCTCGACTCAAAGATTTTTCCTTTAGTTATTGCACAAGGGGGTGGTTATCAAAACCTGCTTCGATCATTTTGTGACAGCCTCACCTGACTGCTGCTACGATTGGAACTCGTTAATTTAATTTATTAGCCAATGAATTGGTTGGTTGTAAGTTTAGTTTAAGTGTTTGGTATGCACAAAAGTCCGCTGCTGAAATCACAGCAGGCTTCCATTTTGAATAAACTGCAGGAAGACAGAGAGAGAGACTATACATATACACATATATGTATAAATATCTTTCTTGGGTTTAATAATACATGATGATAACGATGCTCAAAACCTAAAGCTAAAGGAGTTGGTGGAATGTAGAAATTTTACACGGAATATTTGGACTTTTTCAAGGGGTGAGTGAGTGAGATGAGATCTTTGGCCGGTGGCATATGCTGCAGAATTATCAAGAAACAGGTCGAACTGGGGCAATTTGCATGGCGCAGTTTGATTAATCATTAATCCTTCCTCCTCAGATGACTTTTGTCTCAGTATTAAAGGGAAAAATTGCTGCTGTTTATTTAAGGATTCAAAAGCAATTATCTCCAAAATGCGGTGGCATCCAAGCTTAATTAAATTTTAATTGAGAAAAAAACAGATGATTTTGGACCCCAGCTTCTGGGAAAAAAAAAATTCGATGATTCACGTATCCATCCTATGGACAAACTCAAACGTCACGCAGCAGAGCCTTTTTTGGTCCAGACCCAAACCAGGAGCAGACCAAGTGTCAATCGCTGGCACCAGCGGCCTCATGGGCCGGTCAATCCATGTTAATGACAATGTCCAGCGCATCGAGTTCCACAGTGAAGTTTCTGTAAAAGGGCATCCATGTTAATGACAATTAATGTTGGCGTGAAACCAAAACTACGCTTACTTGGTTGTATGCTTCCTGCGCTTAACAAAAAATTGCTGATAAGCAGCGCAAAATCCTCTTTTGATACGAATAGCTATCAGAAGAGAGATTCTTTGTTCCCCCCCACCTCCAAAACAACAGATTGCTCCAAACAGATTCTTTTGAGCTGTCTAATTCCCAGAAATTCTACAGCAAATGCAGTTAACCGCTTTGAACAATTAGGGAAGTGCAACACGGTGTATCGTGCATTTCTTATTCCATGATAGAAAGCTTCTTTAAAAAAAAAAAAAAAAAAAAAGACAAAATCTTCTTTTTAAGACAACCAAAATGGTTGAGATTAACAGAGAAATCCAACTTTGTGGTACTCTCTGAAATTACAAGGAGAGTGAATCTGCCTGGGGGCAGTCGTAAATGTAGAAACCACTTTATCCCACGGCCTGTGAAAAACTGGTCAAATGAGGTATTCAAGGACCTCGCTGTGACTGAGGTTTGATGATCGAAGCTTGTACGATGATATTCACAATAGCCTGGGGTTCTAGCGTAGCATCAACCTTAAGCACACCTTCAGATTCATCAATATGAAGCAAATCCATTTGGGACTGCAAGAGCTTTGCGGGCATGAAATGTTTCCCCTCTGCGGCTCTCTTCTCCAGCCGAGCAGCGAGCACATCAGCCTGAGCATGCAACAATACAAATTTGACTATAGAAATGTAAGAACCTGGTTCATAACTTGGGTCTGCAGATCTAAGAATTTCTCTGTAGTGCTTTTGTAGAGCTGAGCAACCAAGGATTACAGTTCCTCCGTTCCCTGTACTTCTTCTTAGGGCATCTCTCAGTGTTTCAAGCCACGGTATGCGATCTTCCTCAGATAGAGGTATCCCATTTCTCATTTTTTCTGATTTTAATGCAATTTTCACCGGTCAATATTGTCACTAATCAAAACAGGTGGACATGGCAGGCAAAATGCCGGCAGAAAGAATTACCTTTGTTAGCTTGTGGATGGTAATCATCAGCATCCATATAGCAGCATTTTAAAGCTTCACCTAGCATCTGACCAATGGTTCTGCAAATGCAAAATAATAATACCAATCGAAAATGAGTATCACACTAGTTTTCTGGAACACAGTGAAGACGTAAATATCCAGAGTTAAACAACTCATCTAGTTGTCTACATAAAAGCAACATGAAACAAAGGAACCTTTAGTTGACTGAAGCAGGTGTTGGCTAATGTCCTGAAGTATAGAGCTGAAAGTGTATACGTTGGTAACCTCACAACAAAATTTAGCAGGGCAACCAATAAAGCCAGGTAAATACGTCTTGGAGCAACATCTAGAATCTACTTTCGTGCCATTGTTTAGCTGTTGCTTTAGAAAAAAAAAAAAAAAAAACTTGGAAATGTAACAGAAGTATTTACATTTTCTTCCTAAATGAGAAACTTTCAGGACACTACGGAGATGCAGAAATACAACCTAGAAAATATTGCAACTTTTGATAGATTACTAATTGTTAAATGAAAAAGTAGGTTCCTATGGCGACACAATTTATAGGACATGTAAAACTTCCATTCTTCCTAGTTCAAAGTTCACCTGGAGCAAGAAGAAGGAAACGAAATGTATAACAGAAAGATCAATACCATTCTTCTGCGGCCATGAAAAGATCAACAACAAACAACTAATACCTCAGAAATGATTGTATCGATAAACAGACATTTAACGATGTACTACTAGTGAAAAAGAATGGAATCAAATAGAATTTTTGACTGAGGTTTGAGACTCACGATTTCCCAGCACCGCTAACTCCCATTATGACAATAGCTTTTCCTGTGGAGCAGAATGCATCATCAGACATTGATTAAAAATAATAAAACAGGAACAAGAAACAGAACATTCAGATTGGATATAAACAGATTTCGATAGACAATGATCCCCAAAGTCAAAGTGAAGATGTGAAACGTAGAAGCCAAGAACTACCATTCCAATCCGGTGCCATATCTGCGCAGATCAGAATAGATAATCTTGGGGGGGCTTCAGCTCATGAAAACAGGTACAAAAATCAGAAGCCCATTTGACACCTTCACCAAACACTGCTTCCTCAAGAAATGCCCCTATACATGGTGTGGAAGAAAATTCAAAAAGATAGGACATTTCCGGATAATACTTCATTGGGCATTCTCATTAATTATTCTCCCCAAGATTACCATTAAGCTTTGACTGAAAGTGACAACCCAAAAGAGTTAACAGCCAAAAGTAAAGAACGAGCATCTGAGCCTAAAGACGTAGCGCACCAGAAACGCTAAACAAGAAGATTCACGAATGATCCAAGAGCTTTAAGTGATAACAATCACGTTAAAAGAGCTGAGAAGAATTTGAAAGACAGCAATCAATTAAAATTGAAAACTGTACTTACTCGTCGGCAGGATAATATACCAAAGCAGCCAACCAAAAAACAATAAAGAAAAAGGTTAGATGATTTTGCAGATTTTTTCTTTTTTGGTTTTGTTATTGGCTTTCCGGCGTTTTATTAATTACTTACCTGGGCTATTGCCTATTGGTGATGATAATATTTGCCGGTACTGCCGTGTCAGACGTTTGAGCGCAGCAGCAGTAGGAGGAAGAACGATCGAACTTGTCCACCGGCCACCAACCACCCCAATCCAGGCCGTGCATCCTGTATTTACCTCAATTAGTGCTGCACGAGCTTCTTTTTTTTTTTTTAATAAAGATAAGACGGAAAATAAGCATGGGTTAGCTTTGTAGACTGACTGCTCTTAATTAGTACTATTATCTTCCCAAATAAAATTACAGATAACTCTTATTTACTTTTTTTTTATTTTTAAAATTCCTAACGATATAAAATAGTAACGATTTAGAGAGCTGTATGTGTGTTCGTGACTTTGAAGTTACCATTTTTAGCGTATGTTTGTTTGGATAGAGGATTATTTGTCAAAAATTATTTACTTACATCATCATTATAATTTCTAACACACCTTTTTATCTTCTCCATTATCTTTTTATCTCACATACATTACATTACAAAAAATACTACAATAAAAATATCTCAAATAATTTACAATCCAACTACTATTGAAAAATAAAGAGTTACTATTGAAAGTTTAGATTTCTGGGTTCCAAGACAAAAAAGTAGTAAGTCTCACTCCAATTCAGATCGCTGGAAATGGCCTTATTTTTTAAAAATTAAGTGGAGATCGGTTCTTTATTATTATTTTATTTTTTTTTATGAGGGAGTGGAGATTAGTGTTGGAAATAGGTTTAGTGGAGATTTGGAATAGTTTTTAGAACTATTTTTGCTAGATCAAGCGTGCTCTCAAAGGCACTTAGATTTGACGCCTTACACCCCCTACTTTCGAGCCGTAATGGTGTGTTTACCAAAAGATTTTAATTTTGTAAAATGATGTTAATATTAAATATTAATTATTACATGAAATGGAAATGAAAATAAATTCTTTCTTGGGAGATTGATAAAAGGAAGTATGTTATCAGCTGGTATGGTATGCTATGCTATGCCCTCCACCGCATAGACTTATATCCACAAATTTAGGTATTAAATTATTAATTAATGCGATTGATTACCTATTACTCCTGTGTTTTCTTTTTCTTTTTTCTTTTTTTAAGAATGTCCTGCAGGGAGTAGATTTCGCAAATTATTTTCCATCCTCCATAACTTGCTGGCAGCAAAGTTCAAACCAGGAACCTAAGACTCCATCTTTAACAACTTCAACCATTAGACCAAGCCCGAAGGGCATATGTACGATATTCGTGCGGCGAACATACTTTACTTGTTCCAGAAAAAAAACTTACTTGTTCTAAGCCCAATTTAAGAGAGCCCAAGAGATCTCTCAGTCCATTTCCTATGTGGGCCTAGCTAGGTCTGCTGCCAGCCGACTGCGAAGAGGAAGCAATCAGAGTAATGTTTGTTAATTCTGATATTTGTCTTGAAAATAAATGAAATCCAGGTCCACCTGAGGGGATGTATTTCAATAACATATTGCTTCAAGTTGGAGGCGCCTTTCTTCCGCCTTCCGTCTTGACTATTGGACTATTGGGACAATTTCACATCGTAGTTGTGGTACCTCATTATTACCGAGGGTTGATTGTCCCTTTTACCCATCTGCCCTTTAGTTGTGTTGTGTTGTGTTGTGTTGTGGCCCATTTTCTTTCTTGCATCTTCAGCTTTTAGGTTCTGAATGTAGCCCATTTTAATTGCTTTTGTCTACTTTCTAATTTTCCTTTTCTACAATTAAAACTGCTTTATGTTTTCTTATTTCCTGTGCGTGCCTTCCTATTAAATATACTTAAACACGACTAATATGCCACTTATTAAGTAGAAAAATCAAAACAAGTGATTGATCTTGCAGCAATTAGAATTACTTCTCAACATTAAAAAAAAAAAAGAGCATTACACTTTTATACATTAAATTGATCAACCATAGACAGCAACATCCGAGAAGAAATTTTATGGCGTTTCTAAGGATGGCAATTGGGGCGGGTGCCAGGGAAGCTAATGGGGGGCGGAGGAGTATACTCCCACCCCGCCACCCATTAATATATATGTGTATGTGTGTATAATATTTAATTTAATTAGGTATAAACTTATAATAATGATATTATTAGTTATAAGTATTTTATAATATATATGTAATATACTTGATGTTATCAATTATACTAATAATTATACATGTTTACTAATAGAAATTACTTAATTAGTTGTACTAAATTTACAAATATATTTATCCTAAATCCTTAATTACACTTAACACAATAACACTTTTTTCTCAAAAAAAAATACAATAATAACTTAGTGATTGTATTTATTTCAAAAATGAAAATTTGACTACTTTAGTTGTATTTGTTTCATTATATTGTATTGTATTCAAATAGTTTTTGTTTGATTATTTTTATGAGTTTCAATTGTAAAATTACAATGAATAATGATTTGATAATATATTGATATTTTAATACTTAAATATTTGCTAAAACATGATTACAATAAAATTATATAATAAATTTTTATTAACCCCACGGAAGCACCTGCAGGGGAAGCAGGGCGGGGCGGGGATGGGGCCGGGGGAAGTAGTGGGCAGCCCTCCCCTGCCCTAAATCCACCTCGTTGCCATCACTAGGCTCTTCATTCCTGTTTTTATTGTCACCCTGTCAATTTTCATTTTTTATTTTACCAGCTATAATTCCAAATTATTATTCTTCACGCGTTCAATTTTCACTTTATTTCACATGCCTTAATGAATTAATGTTATAATACATATTTCTGCCAAACCACATTACAAAATGTTAGTTTTAAAAAAAAAAAAAGAAGAAACAAACACAGGTATCCATTCTCATGCCACCTGCGGGACTGCGTCCTTGTTTTATCTCAACTTCTATTTTTTTGTATAGATTTTTGGCACTCAAAAGTTCACTGTTTTCTCTACTTTTCAGGTTAGAATAAAGCCCTCAAATTAAAAAGTTGTGGGCTAAAATTCAAATCACGGTTCCTAATTTGACTCTTTCATATTTTTCAAGAGAAAAAAAAAAAAAGAGATGAAAACCGAACAACTATGAAGTGAACTCCAAGGCGATAAAACGTCAATAATATGCTATGTTTTCAGAACCGGACCGGATAGCGACTCGGCCAAGGTCAGGGGTCAGGGGTCAATGGGTTCGACCGGGGGTCGATAAGGGTCGAACCGGATGACGTCATAAATAAAAATTATTTAAAAATTAAAATATTATATTTATAATATCTAATAATATATTGATATTAATAAAGGTATATTCATATATATTTGATATTTCAAATATATTTAACAAGAAAATATAAAGAAATTAGAACAATTAAGTAGCAATTTATATTATTTAATAAATATTAACAAGTTTAGAATTAAAATTATGAGTTTAATTGAAAAATAACATCAAATTTTAGGACAATATTTATAAAGTATCAAATATTTGAGGTATATCGATAAGTTTTAACAATTTAGGGGGTCAAAACATAATATTATAAAGTTTGAATTTTTTTTTTAAAAAAATTACTGTTGAACCGGAAAAAAATCGGGAAAAACCGATTTTTTTCCGGTCAAACCCGATCAAACCCGGTTTTTGACCGGCTTTGACCGGATTTTAAATTTTCGGTTTTTAAATAAGACTCGGACCGGCTACCTGGCCGGTTCTCGGTTCGACCGGTTCGACCGGCCGGTCCGGTCCGAGTTTCAAAACAGAGGTAATATGTATAAGGAAAAGTTGAGAATTAGTACGTACGCAATCTTGGTTTTGACTGAAGAGGCTTCAAATATAGTACTCTCTGAATTTTTTTTTAAGATCAGAACACTGCCACAGCAAAGCCAAATGTGGTGGGATAAGTATTGTGCAACGGAAAGGAAGATTATCCTAAGCATATATAACCACCCCATAAATATAGTGCTTTTCATGCAAGGAGGCAGAAAGAAGAATAACAGAGTCGGATGACTAAATTAGCAATTGGTGCTCGATAGAAACGTAGAAACGTCAAAACTAACACAATTACTCCAATAGCTAGCAGTAATCTGATATAATTCAAGACCAAAGTCAAGTAGAAAATCAACTACAAAACATGTTAGATAGTAATAGATATCACGATATTCCGTCCCATAGAGGTAGTTTTTATCTAATTTCTTTCAGCTGGAGATGTGTGACAAGGAGGTTTCATACCAAAGAGCTAGAACGCTTGACCAATATCTAGAATTTTAATGTTAAATATCTACATTAGAAAAAGAAATCGAAATTATCCCCGTCAATCTTCAAAGCATCCATAGACTGTATACAGGAAATATTTCTCGTCGAATCTTCAAAAGCATGCATGGGTTAATATAATATATACACTTGGAGGGGGAAGGAGCAGAAACGAATTCAATACCCTGAATTAGGACATCATTCCAAAATGGAAAATCTCACGGTGAGCATTCTAATCAGGCGGCAGCCCGCAGCAATATCGACCCAGAATTCATTCTGCTTAAAGCTTCAAATCTATCGGCTGCGCCTGACACCCCGGGCATGCAACAACCTTTACGTAAATCTCTCAGGGCTGAAATTCTTATATGACTCGGGGAAAAGTCTTGCTCCTGTGAAAAAAACATTTATCCATAACTCTGGTCCTGCATGCATGATAAAATATTATTCCACAAAATTCCACTTCACAGTTGCTATTTAAAGATGTGATTTTGATTCCAAAACTTTTTGTAGATAACCACAAGTACTTCTCCCTAAGTAGAGAAATTGTGAGAGAAGGAGCTATTCTCAAAGTGTCCTATATATTATACGTGCTCAATCTCATTATAAAGATGAGCCACAAACAGAAAGGATATGTTATGTTCTTTCAATTTCCACCAAGAATCAAGTTGAGAAGAGAGTCGGAAAGATTTCCCTTCCTCTTCTTCTCCTTTATTCTAGTACTTTGCAGATCACACGTTTGCAATGCAGTTGACACAATAACCACCACTGAACCACTCCGAGATGGTGAAACCATCACTTCCTCAGGTGGAAATTTTGAACTGGGATTTTTCAGCCCAGGCAATTCCAGCAGCCGATACGTAGGTATATGGTATAACAACATATCTTCCACAACCGTGGTATGGGTTGCCAACAGAGGGGCTCCACTTACCAATGCATCAGGCATCTTGAAGGTTGCTAAGTCCGGACAGTTGACTCTTTTAGATTATGCTAATAACATCAT